TTGTTGAACCTCATACCATTGGCCTTGGCCCGTGAATCCAGCCTGTCCAGATCCCTCTGTAGGGCCATCCTACCCTCCAGCAGATCAACATTCCCTCCCAACTTGGTGTCATCTGCAAACTTACTGAGGGTGCCCTCGATCCCCTCATCCAGGTCGTTGATCATCACATGATCACATCATCTGCTCTGCTTTGCACTATTTGAGTTGTCAACCAAGCTTTATTTTAGGAGATATTCCCCATCTGCTTCAATTCTCCACACAGAGTGAACATGAATGACAGAGGGAGAAAGCTGGAACAGCACAATGACAAGGGAACCATCCCGGGGAGAAAAACTCCCATCCCTTCTTCTCTGTATGTGTCCTGAGAGCTGGAAAAACCTAAGCAGATGGTGGTGCTTAGAGCGGGCTGGGGAAATGGGAGAGAAAAGATAGGGGGAATCAGGAGCAGGAATCAAGCCTATAGGGGCTGGATGGGGGGCTGGATGGGAGAAGGGACACATGAAGTGACATGGCAGGAGTGCCAAAGGATGTGCACAGCACGCGGCAGAGCAAGGAGTTCATGCCAGAAGCAGGTCCTGGTGGCCCTGGGGGATGTCTCTTATCTTGCTCATCTGTAGCAGGATTAAGGGCTGAATCAATCAGTCAGGCCTTCACAAAGCAATGGCAAGAAATCACCTCATTTTCAGAAGGGAAGTCAGTCTGAAAAAAAGTCAGATTTTAAGAAATACTAACCAAAACACTTAGAAGAAAATGTTGCTGCGGGGTTTTTTTGTTTGGTTGGTTGGTTTTTTTGTCTCAGAATTGCAATAAAAAGGAAACCTGAACTTTAAAAAAGAAGTTATAAATCTTCCTTTTTGAGACTTTGTGAAAACATACTGCCTCAGGCCTCTCTAACACAGGTGAGGAAATAACATGCAAGGGAGAAAACTTCAGAAAATGTCACGACTGGCTACACAGAGAACAAATATTCATCACATTGGGGTTTGCTCTATGCAATGCCAGTTAGAGATTTCAGCAGAGTTCTCTGGGAATTTTAATCCAATTTTGGAAATATCTAGAGAATGACTCCAGGCCTGAGGGGTTCTCATTGTGCTGTTGATGTCTTCTGAGGTGACTACAGAAGGAGGATTTTGAGAAGTCCTCTAGTAGAGCTGGAAAGAGCAGTGGATTCCGTTTCAGATTTGATCTTACTGTTTTCCACTGTGGGAAGTGGAAGGTAAACATTCTGACAGGTAAACACATGCAGTCCAGAAAAATAAGTCTGAAGGTGTTCATTGCCAACGCAAGGTGTACACTTCTACTGACAAATTTTAATAATCTGTAAACTGAAAAGGAGCAAAAAAACCCGGAAAACTGAGGTAGTTCATTCCTTCAGGAAAAAAAACTACAACACACAACTCCCTCACACACACATAAAAAAACCCTCAGGGTAGTAAATCCCTCAGACTCTGATTAAAACAACTCCTTTAAGCTGGCAGGATCTACCCAGAATTAAATATCAATCCAGGAAAGACTTCACATAGTGCATTTCCCTCCAAAGTACTGCCGGGTGAATGGGCCACGTATCTTTGTCTACCAAAGGCTGTTTCATTTTCCCACCCCATGGTTCTGCTGTAGGCAAAGTTGTATTTACTTTGTCTCCAAGAATAGTCATTTCTCTTTACGCAGCACCATTGAATCCAAAGATCTGATGTTTATGAACATTACACAGAAATTATTTCAATGTGTACTAAAATGCAGATAAATGTGTTTTAAATATGCTTACGGAGTAGCTGTGGAATTGCAGGAATGATTCTCCCGCATGAGAAAGTTTGCAAACTGAAAGATTACTTTTTACTATAGACTTACTGCAAGCTAAATATTGGCTGTTTGAGGCACCATATCTGAGATCCCTGGGCCTGGTGCAATGGAGGTGGGATGCAGAGTGACTGTGACTTAAGAACGATGCTAACTTCTCTTTATGTGTTTTTAGCTGATCCCTACAAGTTTTGAGACCACAATTGTAATCACAGTGTCAACAAGTCCAGGCACATGTCTTTAAAAAAAAAAAAAGGCTTTTGGCTTTCCAGAGTAAGTGGAGAAATGGTGTTGAGTAGCTCAATGAAGTTGGCAATAGCTGTCAGGAAAATTCCTGCAGTTTGTGAGTTTGTGGAGAAGTTCCTCAGTTATGCATGGTGAACTGTCACATCAGGTAGGATGGAAGGGGAATAAAGCAAAGAAGTAATTCTAGCATTTCTTATAAAGGTGAAACTTTGAGCTTTTTAGTAGCTGAAGAGTGAAAATATTGCTGTGGCAGATGTGATGGAAACCTAGTATGATCCATAATCACTCCAATGGATTGCGTGATTGTGAAAGCAATAGTGTGGTTTTCCGCCTACAGGTAAGACAGTTCATCTGTGTATGCCAGCAATATATTAGATCCTCTGTCACAGACAAAGAAAACATAGCTGAAAAAGGCTTTTCCCCCTCTCGGCAGTAGATACCTTAAAGCATGAAAAAAAACAAGGCCTTTTGGTAGTTGTTCATTTTTACACAGTTGAAAAGGAAATACACTGTTGTCTGTTTGATTATTTCCAAGACTGTAAGGAAGCTCCAGTAGCAATATCTGAAAAGATAGAAATGATGTACCTCAGTCAAATGTTTTGACTTTGACAGCGCGTCAATACTTGCAGTGGGTGATGCTAACATGAACTCAAGACATCATTTTGTCTAGAAGTTCATGGGAAATCATAACAAATATGTCCTTCCAGATATTTGGTTCACCCATATACAGCATAGTGTAAGAAAAGGCATTGCACATAATTCGTTATTTGTCTATAAAAGCTGTGAAAGATGTTCTCAATCCTTTTTCCTCATCAGCTACCAGGTTTCAGGGTTGCAGATGATACTCCATTTTGGCAATATTGAATACGTAGGACTGTTGAGGCATATCCCCACAGGATGATTATTTCCATAGTTTTCAGTTGAAAGGATGTCAAAATATTATCCAGATGTTGGCACCCCTGGAAGCCATTCAGTCTGTGAATGCCTTCTTGGAACCACTGTGTCCTTCAAGGCTGACAAAGGGATGGATGCTCCTCCT